AGTGACCAAGTGGTCACTGAAAAAATTCAGTGATCGTTTTTTTTTTTTTTTTGCGATCCCACGAGCTTGGCTTGTGAGCTCGCCTTCGACAAGCCCACGAGCCAGCTCGTCTATATGACTCGACTCGTGCTCGGGCTCGTCCTTTTCACCAGCCCGAGCGGCTCGTGGCACTTTTTGTCAAGCCGACGAGCCGCTTGGCTCGGTTGCCACCCCTACATGTGATTACTCATAATCAACATGTCATTAATATATAAACATATAAATATCACATAATCAACACATACTTTAGAATATAAACAATTATCGACGCTATTATGTTTAAAACCAAATGATATAATAGTTAAGTCAAATTTCGCGTGCCATTTCTTAAGTGCTTGCTTCAATCCTTATAATGATTTAACTAATTTGCACACCTTATATTCATTTTCGGATAGAACAAACCTTTTAGGTTGTTCCATATAAACCTCATTATCGAGATCCCCGTTCAAAAATGCTGTTTTGACATCCATTTGATAAACATGCAAGTCATACATCGAAACTAATGGGAATAATATCCTAATTGATATTATTCTAGCTACCGATGCATAAGTATCAAAATGGTCTATTTCTTCCTTTTGTCGATAACATTTAGCTACTAATTTAGCTTTAAAAGTATTAAGAGAACTATCAACATTATACTTTTTCTTAAACACCAATTTACTTCCAATAGGTTTGGATCCGGTGGCAAATCGACAAGTTCCCTAGTATTGTTAAACATTATTGAATCAATTTCATCGTTAATTGCATCTTTTCAAAAAATACTATCTCGAAAATTCATGACTTCTCTATAAGTTTTAGGATTTGTTTCCACTTGTAGAACAAAAGGAATTGTTCTAACAACATTCTTCTCACTTTCTTCTATTAAGTAAAAGAAAATAAGTTGAGAGTCAATTTCATCCTGTCCTAAAAACTTCTCAATTTGAGTTCTTTTGCTCCTTCGAGTTTCACTAAATTCATCAATATCTTTAGAAAATATTTCATCTTGTGTTTCACTAGAGCTAGGAGTTTCATTATTAATTTTCCTTAATTCATTATCCGAAGATAGTGAATTCTCGAAGAACTCTGCATTGTTGGATTCAATAATCACATTGGACTCCAAATTCAACAATCGATATGATTTGTTATTGCTAGCATATCCAACAAAAACACATTTGATGCCTCTTGGACCTAACTTGGTCCTGTTAGGGTTCGTGTTTTTACAATAAGCAAGATACCCCACACTTTGAAATATCAAATGTTCGGTTTTCTTCATTTCCACAATTCGTAAGGAGAAACCTTAGTAATTTAGAAGGAATCCTATTTAATATCCTACATGCACTCAACAACGCTTCATCTCATAATTTAAATGGCAACTTAGCATAAATCAACATGACATTAATCATTTCAACTAAAGTTCTATTTTTTATTTCAGCCAAACCATGTTGTTCAAGTGTTCTAGATGCAGAACACTGATAAACCATGCCTTGTTGTTCACAAAATGAGTTAAAATCGTTGGAAAAGTACTCACCTCCTCTATCACTTCTCAGAATCTTTATTTTCTTAGGTGATTTTCAATTTCATTTATATATACCTTAAATATATCAAATGCTTCATAATTACGCTTCATCAAATAAACATATATATATCTAGAGTGATCATCAATAAAAATAATGAAATATCTATTACCACCTCTACTTAACATGTCATTCAATTCACATATATCAGTATGAA